TGTTCAAAGCCAGCAGTTTATTTTCAGCCGAGAATGGATAAATTCTCAACGATCTTTCAACGTCAGAATCTCTCGAGGTGTTCGACGCGCAATAGTAGAAAGAATGCCACGACACTGCTCATCCTGTCACGCTACAAAACCCTGATGCGAACCAGATCTGCTAGGAATATGTTCACACTCCCTTGGCCTAGAGCAATCTTTGCAGGCGTTCCCTTTTCTGGAGCGTCACACAAGTTCGCAGTTTGTCGCAACACCAACCGCGACTTGCGAAGCATCCGCGTCAATGGATCGACGTGCGTAGTTAAACCAGCAGCTGGTTTTGAGTTAGCTTCCGTCTGTCCATTCGCGTGTCACCGGGACCGGACCTTGCACAATCTGAACGGTCCTGCTGCGCATCTGGTTCACGCCGCACACTGCACAGTTGCCGGCCCCTTCACGGTCAGTGTCACTCACCGTCCAGCTAGCAGGCGCGGCTGACAAGAAACGGCCGGCGAGTTTCTTACGAACCTGCGTCCAGGGCAGCCCACGTCTCAGGGTCATGTGTATCGGACGCTGGTCGCAGCCGCTTGGTTGGCTCGGTAAACAATATGCATCGCTCAGAGGCTTGAGTGATTTTCATTTTTCTCTTTTCAATTTTCATCTTGCTTAAATTCAGCCTACGTCTCAGCTCAATGAACTTCGTAGATAGCCGGCCGACAGACTGACTCGGTAAACAATGTTGCACACTGCATCGCTCAGAGGCTGGAGCGAGTCTCACCGGCGAAAGATAAACACTACACAGCCACGGCAGCGTGAGATTCCTGACCAAGGTGTCAATGACCAATCCGTGGGATTCGACGTCAGGACAGACAGAGAGGTATGGCCGCTAAAGCATCATATCCGAACGGAGCTTAGTCCATTTTGCCAAAATGGGCGTGGTGTCATCAATTTTCAACTGCAAATTGGATGGACGGAAACAAAGAGCATGGGGTAAAGACATGGAGAAGAGCATTAAGTTTGTAGCCCATTGAGTAAAATACCAATCCATCTTCCACAACAATACACAGGAGGCGCTCTATAGAAAATGCTGGTCCCCTGGAACACGACGTTCTCCGGCTTGACCAGACGGATTCACAAAGAAACTGGCCCGACGAACTGACAGCCACGACGGTAGCGACGCAGCGGCGGGCGGCCGTCAGAGCCGACGAGGTGGGCCGCCCCCGCCCACCGCCGCGCCGGTCCAGTGGAGCGTTCAGAGGGGTCAACGGGTACACGGGGAACGAAACAATATCAAACAAAATAAAATAAAATAATATAAGATAAAATAAAATGAAATAAAACAAAATAAAATAAAATGAAATAAAATAAAATAAAATAAAATAAAATAAAATAAAAACAAAAATAAAAAATTGCAATATGTTGTCCATTTGTCATAGCAACGCAAAGCATCCATAGCAACGCAAAGCATCGTCCCCAAGCACAGCTCGGCCGCAATCGCCAACGGCGGCAGGCCACTGACGACAAGGCAAAACAAAGCGACCAACCATCCCATCCGACCTCTCTCCGGCGCGCCGCTCCACCCTAGACAGACACCACGGTGTTGAGTCTGCTTCCTTCCAGTTCGGGAGTCTGCCGGAAAGCAGGAATGTCGGGTGCTTCTGGCCTGCCTGACCCTTCGGAGTCGGCGGGAAAGAGACGTCAGTATGCAGTGCCGCTGCCAGCAGAGGTGATTGATGTCATTGAGAAGATCACCACGACTGGAGCCACGTTTTGGTGGTACTATGATGTCATGGCTACAGAGATGACGATAGGTACTGGCGGTGGTGGTCGCAGCAGAGACGATGGGCCCACAGGGATTGAGAATCTGATGGGACTGATATTCCGCGCAATATCCAAGGTGATTGCCCAATACCAGCTCTGTCGACAGTCGCGTATCACAATAACAGCCGGCACCGCACTCCACGACCAAAGCATCCAAAAGGGGCACAGAGCGACACAGCCAGCTCTTCTGTGCAGCACATCAGCCGGTCCAATCGCGTAACACGGAAGCAATCCTTCTGGCCGCGAGACTGACGAGTCAGACTCGATCGCAGGGCATCGACCAGCTCAAAGCACCGACGGAAGTAGGACCGTTTACGAACTAGCTTTAGAACCACTGGCCAATTATACTGACGTCCGGAGAAAACAGGCACATAAAGCTGAATCACCGCGGTGACATTAGTCTAACTCTTAACTGAAAAGAGATAAGATAAGCCTGACCATCATTCACAATCACCAGTAGCTTAAAATACGAGGAAGTGACAGAGAAGATTGTTCCTAACGATATTGTTAGATCTTGCAGTTTTTGCTGAACACCACCAAACCGAGGCACTTTCCAGTTTCCCGACGGGAGTAGCGAGCGCCGGGACCAAGCCCGCTACGTCTGAGGCCCGTCAAAATGACCTGTCCATCAGTCCGTCAGCTGGCACCCGCGGCTGGCCGTCAGACCGCGGTACACCTGCACTGTATCTCGGCTGCAGGTCCGGTACAGGTGCACCATATCTCCGCTGCAGCGGCTGTCAGCACCGGTCAGCGACCGGCCGCGTGATGAGGGACCGGGCCCAAACTGGAGCGGGACACGGCATGGAGAGGAGCGGACCGGGCGGCAGAGAGAGCAAGGAGGGATAGCTGGACAGCAACAGGCACGGACTGAAGGTGTGATGTTTGGAACAAAATAACTCATCACGGGCAGGCGGAGACATCACTGAACTGCATATCAATTAGAGAACATATGTATCGAAAGAGACATTGTGGAAAAGTGTGTGCGGAACTTCTGAGCCTGGGCTAAGCCATTTCCGAGCAAACAAATAAAGATGGAAACGCATTGTTCCGAAAGTCTTGTACGACACAAGGCTGAAAGGGCAGTTGCTGTTTACCCACTATTTCTCCCACAGTAATGAGGGCACAGTTGTTGCCGCCACTCTCATTCCTGGCTATGTCGCAGTTGGTACTCAAAACTAGCCCACCTATCTGGCTGGCTGTACCGGAGGGTCGGGTTGGTATCCACCCCCTCTCTGGGGGGACAGATCCGAAGAGATGTGACCGGCCCGCCGGGGGAGGAGTAGGGGTTGGGGCGACCGTGACCTTGCCGTCGGACCATGGAGGCCGGCCAGCTGGCAGCGGCCGCCATGCGCGCTGCAGCCCCCTCCCCTCCCCCTCCTGGCGCACGCAGCGGGCAGACAGGGGTAGGTATCGTCCCAGACGAGCCACCGAGGCCGGTTACGGTGTGGTCACTGCACTGTGTTCGCAGAACACCTACGGCCGACCGCTGCAGGCGCGCAGTACGCGGAACGCACCGCGCCCACGCCGACTCAGAACACGGTCGGATGGGCGCGAGCGGGGCAGAGACAGAGGAGAGACAATATCAGGAAGTGACTGCCCTGAGTACAGTCTGTGCCAGGACACAGCACAGCCGGACGGTCGAACAGAAGAACCGTATCGAGACACAGCAGTCGCACAGCCTGGCCGGACATGCGCTGGATCGGTTCCCGGAACACTTGCCAATACTTGTAGCAGCGTGCCCTCACCGATCCAACAGTCACACACTGACTCCGTTGCACCGGCGAGCTGAGGTTCTTCGCCCCGCCACTGTTCCCAGTACCACCCAGCGTTACCGCCCGGCCTACTGTACCGAGGCTGCACGCAGCATCCGGCGCAGTCCAGTTCGGGTCGGCTCGAACAGCCGGGCAGTGAGTAGTGACTGAAGGCCGCCCGTCGGGAGAGGGAGAGGGAGAAGGAGAGGAGAGGGAGAGGGAGAGGGAGAGGGAGAGGGAGAGGGAGAGGGAGAGGGAGAGGGAGAGGGAGAGGGAGAGGGAGAGGGAGAGGGAGAGGGAGAGGGAGAGGGAGAGGGAGAGGTAGAGGGAGAGGGAGAGGGAGAGGGAGAGGAGAGGGAGAGGGAGAGGGAGAGGGAGAGGGAGAGGGAGAGCCGCCGCCATCAATGACCGGTCGATTGAGCCGCGCCGGACAGGTGGCAAGTTAAAAGGCGAACTGGTCAGCCCACGCTAGTTCGATACTTTCAACCAGTGCGGATGGGTCGTCGATGCAACTCCAAAGATCGTGGATCCGCGTGGATAAAGAAGTGGATACAGCTCTAACCCCATGAGGACACCAGCACCGGACTCTACAGTCTACCGGCAGTGACAGCTCGGCTGGCACAAGTCGCCCATAAAAATGACCCCGAACGCCATAAAAACAGCCGAGAGAGACTGGGGTCAGCGAGGACAGAAAGTAGGAACATCAGCTTTTTCTTAATCACAATTACTCAGCTAGTTTAACAGATGGGCATGTCTTGTGTCATTTCGCCTCATTATGCCTGTCAAGACTGCTACACCCAATTATCTTACTTTTCAAATCATATAAATGTCGAATCCGCAGGATGACATAAAAAGCAAAAAAAAAATCACACTCTGACAATCCTATTCACAATGCACATTTATAGCCTGAATGGGCCGAGCCCGGATGCCGTTTAAATCAGCACTGAAAATGTCACTTGAGTCCCGATCAGCGATAAAAACGATCCGCATTACCGAAATTGTGACCGTCCCATCGATCGTCTCCTCTCCGTTCCAACCCCATGTCACCGGTGAGTCCCCGCCCGCCCCCACCCAAAGCGGTCGGTGACACCGAAACAAAAATTCCACACCGGCTCCGCGGCACCTCCCGCCGCCCAGAAGGGGGTACTTTTCCGCTGCTCGCCCCGCCGAGCGCCGAACTGTAAGCAGAAGCCCGTCACAGCCCGCACACCGAACGCGAGCAAGCACGGCGCGCAAGGTTTACGTGGTCGATGACGATGCTTGCAGGGCGTACCGCAATCCCCGGGTCAGTCGAAACACCTGCGGCGCGCATATCAACACAGCGACTGCACACAACAGAACCGGACGTATCCGGTTTGGTGAGCGTGCCGCGCGATCAGCTGATCACCATCGACCGACCCCACTGACCCGTACGACGAGGGGGAGGGGGAGGGGAGGGGCGGCACTCACCTTTCCCGGCACAGAGACGGGCTTGGAGGGGCTCGGTTTGACGACAGGCATCATGCCCGGCTCGGTTCGGCCACAGCACTGTCTGACACGGGGTGCTGCGCTCTCGACCCGACTCTGTCACTCCCCTCTCGACGGCTGCCCGACACCGAATGGAACCGACGGCCGCGCCCGGCGCACCAGACCGGCCGCCGCCGTCACGTGACCGGCCGAGCCAGCCGGCCGGGCGCACACGCGCCAGTCACGTGGCCACCAGCACACCCATCTGGCCGGGCTCGGAGGCGGGGAGGAGCGATGGGAGCGGTGCTGGAGAGAGCAGGAGGGTGTGAGGAGGAAGGACACGCGTCAGGTGTCTCAGGGACACACCTCCCGCCTCCAGCACTCCATGTGCGTGGTCGATGGGGCAGCCAGGGTGACCCTGACGCACGCCCACACCTGGCTGATGTGTCCCGGCGGGCGGTGCGGGGGAGGAGGCCCGGCCGCCGCACCTCCGCGAGCCCTCAGCGTTGGCAGGCCGCCCACAATGCTCCCAGCCCCGCCAGCCCACCGAGCGAGCGACACAGACAGAGGCGGCAGCTCTACGAGCTTCATCCCGACCGGGAGAGGGCAGCCAGCGCCACAGCTACGAACGTCACAGCCCAACGTTGAGTAATAGCCGATCGTCAATTCCACACGGAGACGCGATGGCTCAATCGTTTGATAGAAACCAGCTCCCTGTTGAGCATGGACACGAGAGAGTCGTTAATATTCTATCCAAATAAAACACCAAACGAAAACAGAGCCACGTGGAGAGGTCGTGCCCCTGATAGAGACTGGAACGAGGTCGCTGACGAAGACGACACATCACAGATGAGCCACACAGCCTGACCTGGGAGGACACACCATCGCACGATGAGCCCAGAAAGTCCAGCATGCCATCCACTACCGGAAACGGGACTGATGCAGGACTCAATTACCTGCACCACACCGCGACCCGAGACGGGATCAAGTGCTCTAGTCTCTGTAGCACACTTTGTCAGGAGCAGTCTGAGCTGACACTCTCCGTAGAGTTTGGCCATTATTGGAAGTTGGAACAGTCAACGGTCTGATGGTCCATGCGGATGTGAAAATCGACGCCTAATTTACATGGCGCCTGTACTTGTAAAAACGCACACATCTCAAAGGTGGCAATTCCTAGGGTAACTCCATACCACACCAAACACATCTATGAAAAGCCACGGCAGACGCCTGAGTGCATCGCCGGTTCCATGGGAATTGGTCATAGCGCTGTGGCTTCAGCAGCCGACCGGTACTATGGCGGCGACCTTCAGCTCAGCAGGCTGTGCAACGGCGTCAAACCAGCGGAAATATACTGCACGGAATTGTACACACATTGCAGACTGTGCACATTGCGTACCGTTCAATTCCGCGGAACACACGACTCATAGTGGACAAACAGCAGCACCGAAATAGCTGCAACTTAAGACATTTCAAATCCAATAATAGCTCGCTATTGACTCGTCACAAAGTCGCTTTCGAAGGCTGCTGCTGGCTGCGTGTGAAATGAACAACTGTAGAGAGTGATTCGGAACCTTTGAGTGCCAAAAAGCGCCTGGTGCATATTCAAACTTCCCAGCATTATCAATATCGGCAAAGAATAACTTATTATTGCTTAGCTTCGGTTTGAACACGAAATCGAGCATTTCAATTTTCATAGGAATCCTGGGACATGACAACATTCAGTATCCACACACTCCTTTGTTAATGGCGCTCCTGAACACTGGCGGATCCAGGGGGGGGGGGCCACGGGGGCCATGCCCCCCCCAAAGGCCTAAAGTGGCCTGTTTGGCCCCCCCCCCAAAACGTCAGAAAAATTGCTAAGAAAATATACCTTGATGGAGGTTTTTAGCCACTTGGTGAAGTAAAGCTTTCCACAGCATAATATGGAAGCAATATGGTAGCAATGGGGGTCAGTCAAAAGTTGCGCGAGTGGAGTCGACCTTCAAAAAAAGACTGTTGTTGGCACGTGTTTATGGCGCGGTAGCTGGTAGTTGGCGGTGTTTCGCGTGGTGTGGCATCACTGGCGGATCCGGGGGGGGGGGGGGGGGCACGGGAGCCTGAGGTGCCCCTGACAGGCACGTGGTGCCCTTGCTAGACCTGTGGTGCCCCTGGACCCTGGCAGGCCTGTGGTGCCTCTGGCGGGCCGAGGGTGCCCCTGCTAGGCTGCTGATGCCCCTGGGACCTGACAGGACTGTGGTGCCCCTGACAAGCCTAAAGTGCCCCCAACAGGCCCGTGATGCTCCCGACAGGCCCAAGGTGCCCCTGCGTGATGCCGTGATGCCTGCGAGGCCGGTGGTGCCCCTGCGAGGCCGGTGGGCCCCTGACAGGCCCATGGTGCCCCTGCGAGGCCGGTGGTGCCCCTGCTAGACCGGTGGTGCCCCTGGCAGGCCTGTGGTGCCCCTGCTAGGCCGCTGGTGCCCCTGGGCCCTGACAGGACTGTGGTGCCCCTGACAGACCCAAGGTGCCCCTGCAAGGCCGGTGGTGCCCCTGTAAGGCCTGTGGTACCCCTGATAGGCCTCTGGTGCCCCTGACAGGCCCATGGTGCCCCTGCGAGGCCGGCGGCGCCCCTGGCAGGTCTCTGGTGTCCCTGACAGACCTGGGGTGCCCCTGACAAGCCTGTGGGGCCCCTCACAGGCCCGTGGTGCCCTTGCTAGGCCTGTGGTGCCCCTGACGGGCTGGTGGTGCCCCTGCTAGGCCGGTGGTGCCCCTGCTAGGCCGGTGGTGCCCCTGACAGGCCTGTAGTGCCCCCGGGCACCAAGGGGGGTCATGACCCATGTGGCCCCCCTTGGATCTGCCACTGATACATAATATATTGATTTGTAAAGGCGTTATGGCTTATGCAATATGCAATTGCAAGCACTTGGTATCCCTCACTTATCCCTCATTGGGGGCTCTGGCGGGCTCCTGAGGGCCCACGTCTATCTCCAGGAGCCCTAGACAGGCTCCTTTGGGTCCTTTCAGTCCACTATAGCATAAGAGGTCTCCATGCGAGTCCCATACATCTGAGGGCGTACCCTGACGTCTGAGGTACCCAACTGCAGCTCCAATGGTCTCTTACACTGGCGGATCCAGGGAGGGGGCATTTAGGGCCGTGCCCCCTTCCCAGAGGCCTAAAGTGGTCCGTTTTCCCCCTCCCCCAAGCGATAATGAAACATAGTTCAATCAGTGCGTGGCCCAGGAGCTGAGTTAGACAGGGGGTGTTTTACCACCTCCCGGCCCGCAAAGGGACCCAAGCACTGACTCGAAGCGCGTTTACTGGTCGACAAAAGCAATGGTAAGTGTTTACAAAGTAATATAAAGGCATGGGTCGGGTGGGCTACCATTTATATATTTTTATTTTTAGTAAAAAAAAAAATATTCATAGTGTCAGGGCTGTGACGAAAAATAAGTGGCCTAAATCCGATGAGAAAACAGAATTTTGGGGTACCCTAGGTTTGGCTCCTGCATAAGTTGGCCCCCCCCAAAACGCAAGCCTGGATCCGCCAGTGCTCCTGGATCAAGCATGCGACCTTCAAAAAGAGACAACGTGTTTGAGCCCCTTTAAATCCCGTTGCTATGTCCAGGAAGTGCCGGTTCACACCGGAGCGAGTCAGCCTGCTGAGTAGTCGACTGCCGCTCCCTGGAGACTCACGCCGTGATCTGGTTGTTTGCCACACCTCGACGTTACCCTATCGCCCGCCTCAACCCGTCCCCGTCACCGCCCCGCGCCAGTGGACCGATACGTATCGAAGGACACCGTCCTACTCAGAGACTGACACAGCTGCCGGGGACAGCAGACGCAGCCCAGCTCCAGTGTCCCCAGAGGCACCGGCTGGCGGAAGGTGCCTGGTAACACGGGTGTCACGCGCCACCCCAGTGATACGTGATGGACCGGGGACACAACTGGTCGAGCTGACACGGCACACACTGCTCGGCGTAGTTACACAGAATTAACATACACGTAACCTTCAAAGAACATTCCCAGATGTTCTGGTTTTTAAACGCTGAATGATCGATTTGGTGTAGCTCCAGGTCATCATTTTGTTTACGCGACCAGAGCCGCGTTTAGACAGTCTCACTAACCACAGTCCAACCCAGCCCCTTCCCACACAACCTCCCACCCTGAGAGGGCACAAGGGTTACATCACAGGGGTTGCAGCCGGCCTCTGCGCCAACTGAACGAGCCTGCTACCGGTCTCTGTAGCTCCTCACACGGCACATTACAGTACGCACGGACGTACTGGGCCGTTGAACCCATGACCTAGGTCACGGACCGGCGCCACTTGTCCCACTTGTGCAACCGTTCCGACATTGCTCCCGCCGGGTCCTGGAGGTCAACCAGTGGGTATGCAGTGCACTATTGCACTACGCAACTTCAGAAGCGATTGGGTATACATCAACGGACTCTGGCGCCGTTCGAAGTTATTGAAGGGGAGAACTGCGCTGTTATGGAGCCTCACCAGTGTCCTCTCGGGGTTAGAATCCCCATCGGTCACAACGGGTTGAGCCAGCGTGACGTCACGACTGCCATAGCGTGACGCAAATGGGACAGATCGTGACGTCACGGCGTCTCGATCGAGGATAGTAGATCCTCCTCTGTTTTGACGTCAAAACAGGTGTCAGCCTGAGGGCGGACAGTGTCTATAGAAGACAGGCTGAGAGTCCCTGTGGATGACAGGCAGACATTGTCGGTAGCCAACAGATGAAAGCAGTGCTGTGAGCAGTGCTGGCTAGGGTAGGGTGGGGTAATTTGAACATGTGGGGCAATTTGAACATTGTGTGAAAAACACAAAATTACGGAAAATTCATAAGTGGCATGACAATATGACCAATGAGGGAAATTATCGTAACTAAAAGGGCTATCATATGAACGAGTTTAAAGTTTCATGGAATGAAGATGCTGACGCACACTGTAAAAAATCATTTTCGCAATTAAAAACGCCTAAAAACACGTCATTGCAACTTCATTGCAGCGCAAAATCTTGCATTGCTAGCGCCTAATACGCAACGGCTTTTGTTGTACAATGACCTAATCAGTGCCTTCAATCCAAGAAATTTGCTTTTGAAACCTGTTTTTAAATATGGCAAAATAACTTTTAGCGTGGGGTAATTTGAACATAGAGTGGAAATTTCAATGAAGACAGGGATAGCTCCGAAAAAACAATGCTCCCAGTTTTTTTTTTTTGCCAATATTTTCGACCCAAAGCAGTAACAGATAAGTGATGCCAGTTTTATAAAATTTACGTCTAATATCCGTCTAATGTCCGGCATTTTTGTTGATTTCCGTTCAAAAATGTTAGTCAGCCATTTGTCCAAATATGTCCGAAAATTACGCATTAATAAACACTCAAAACTGTCATTTAAGTTGCTTATAATGTACTTTTACCAGCCGAAAATTGTTCATTATATTGAGAGCTTAACAAGCTTTCCATTCTCCAATCAATGCTATGCACGATTACTTTATAAAAAGCGCTGA